CCTAAGCAGGAGCTAGCAGCCTAATCAGCAGCAGTACCCACCGACATCTCAACCGCCTCCATGCTAAGCACGGCGGGGTTCTTCGGGTTGACAATCATCCGAGGCACGGATGGCAGCTGCTGCCGGATGGGAATCTTGAGTTTTGGTAGGGGACCCGCATCCGCATGAGCTATGACGGCCAGCGGGGCAGCCGCTGCTGCTGCCAGGAGCAACGAGAAAGTGGTGGGAATGGCTCGTTGGGGGCCGCGCCTGCGGAAGGCAACCCTCGCCTCCATGGCCGCTGCAGTCTTGTAGGGCATGCAGGACTGATGACACACATAAAGGTGGACACTAGACGTCGTGGTTTTAGGCATCCCAGGCTGTATATGTATGAGGGAACGAACCCGTTGGAGGTTGAAACGATACCGGGCTGCGTGACAACAGCAGCTAGCTGTTGCTGGCTGTTGCTTCCACAAATTCGCCATCACTCCCAGGAAGCTTGGAGTGATACGTCTGGGAAAGCAGCATCATGAAATTGCATCCACTCGTTTGGAGATGCTCTCGAGCTCCTGCCTCAAGTTCACACTAGGAAACACCAATGGGAATTCGTGCAGACGCAAAAAAGGGCATCTTGCCTAGAACAACTGGGACCACGCACGGCTTCGCGGACCGCCACTAGCAGATGCGAGAAACAGCCACCCGCAACAACAAATGGCCAGGAAACATGCATGCGAAATGGTGCGAGGGAACCACAGGAAGGCTTGTCCCCGAAGCTTTGAAGCCCGCCCGTGCCTGCCATTACATGCACAATGACAAGTGCAGTGCGCGCGCCGCTCCAACACGGTCGTAGGACCGTGCTCTATGCGGGTCTGGTATGAGGAATTTGCGGTTCCATTTGTGCTTCTTACATCATGTGGGCCGTGGGCATGCCCTGCTGTGCCTGCGTGTGAGGCGTGGGTACCTTCCAACTGTAAGACAGCCCTACATGCCTCGGCCTACCTGCAATTGAAGCAGGGACATCGCTTTAGTATTCATGAACCGCCAAAATACCCCGGATACTCAGCCTCACCGCCTTGGGCCATTGGTGTCGCTTAAGGGTAGAAGGGGTCATTGCTCGCAGCCCCAGCAACCCGAGCACATCCCATCCAGTTGGCGATCGAGCTAGATGGCTGCCGACAGTATGCACGACAACTAGAAAAAAGGTGCATGCAGCAGCGTCGAAGCCATAAGAAATGGTGCGGGTAGCGTAGACCCCAAGTGATATCAAGGGTCGATAATGCATGCGCAGGCTCTGGCCGGGTTCAGTCCTCGACAGCAAGGCCAGCGACGCATACTGCATTAAAAGGATAAAAAAGTTCATCCTGGTTGTACGCTTGCGACCTACCGTATAGGCGGTTTAGCTGTTCAGATGATGCCGACGACTCGGCCATAACTTGCTGAACCGGCGCTCGCTAAAATAGAGAGGTTTCAACGCAAATGCAGCCATTTGCATTTGTTATGCTGGCTCTCGGATTCTAGGACCCAGTCATGGTCCAACGCGTCATGAAACATGAATTTTCCTTTTTCCTACATTTGCTCCAGTTAATATGCGAGAAAGATAAACATTATGAAACAAAGGATGTAGGTTATTTCCCGTCGTTACGAGATCAACCCTCAGAGAAGAGGCAGACTCCTAAGTGGCTTCAACCATTCGTCGAAGGCAGCATTAAACCTAGCACGCGCCCGTTAGCCCAGTAAATGGTTAGTTCATTACCAATTAGTAAACGCTGCTGCGTTGTGGGGATGGATTCATGTATGTATGTATGTGTTACAAGCTTCGTACCGAGCTCGTAAGATCCGTCCGAGCCAGAAGGCTCATGGATCGCGAGCACAAAACGCGAAAACAACCAAAAGAAGAAAAGTAAACAAAAGAGACAACAAACAGAACGCTAATCACTGGATTCATACACTGGGCGACCGTGGAGGTACGGGATGTCCTGCCAGTCGTGCCGGGGCTCGATCCAACCGGTAAAGGTCATAGGAAGTCAGACAATATTATTTCTGTCAGGCTGTAGCTACAAACGGGTTTTGCTTGGCTTCTGGAATACTGTAGGACTCACCGGGTTTCCTATTCCATGCGCTAATGCGCGTGCGTTGCTGCTTTGCAATGGCCAGGAATCTTTATGTCATTTAGGTATTCTGTACCGCTTATTATCTGTATGCATGTATTTGTTAAAGAGCTTGAAATGCCGTCACTTGCGAGCTGCAGGCTGTTCTGCCTCAGGTGTCACCTATCTACGGCAGGGGTACTCGCCCATTACACCAGCATTGCATACTTGACTGTGTTTCGTTGAATACGGACAAGTCGCTAGCCGTTGCCTACCATTTGCCGGCACCACTGTTGTTGCTCAAATTGAAATTGACAGCTTACTTGCCGCTCCAAGTTCGCGATAAGCTGGGGCATGCTCTGTAACCATGCATAAACTTCGCTTAGCCCCAACTGTTTGCTAAACAAAAGGACTAGGCCGCTGCCGCAGTCAGCAATGAATAGCGAAGAGCCTGCCGCGAGCGCTTCAAACGTATGGATTCCAGGCATTGTCCAGCGCATTTCCAGCTTCCTGACGCCTAACGAAGTGGCTTGCACGCTTCGTCTTGTGGACAAGGCTACGGCCGCACAGTTTCGCGGCCCCCAATGCACCACCGTTCGGTTGTCACAGCCCTGTCCGCCCCACGCATTCGCACACCGCTGGGGCTCCCCGCATGCCATGCGTAGCCTGAAATTTGAACAGCGCTTGCAGCTCCTCTGCCTCACTGCTCGAAGTGGCAGCATTCTGAACTTGTCGGTTGCTGTGGCAGCAGCCGGATGCCTGTTGACAGCTGAACCAGCCGGCGCGCTGTTTGAATCTGCAGCAGCTGCGGGGCAGCTGCAGGCCTGCGAGTGGCTGCGGCAGCAGAACTGCCCGATGGGATGCAGTGCCCTAGAAGCCGCAGCCAAAGCCGGACAGCTCTCAAGCTGCACCTGGCTGCTGGAAAAGGGCATCGACTGCACCCTAGAAGCCGTATGCGCCGCAGCACTAGGGGGCCACGTGGGCCTGATGCAACGGCTGATGGAACGCCTACCGGCGGCTGCAGCTGCTGCCTCGCCCCTCAACGCACCCAGGCTCCTCCAAGCCGCAGCTAGCGGCTGCAGCCTGGCCACGCTACAACAACTCTACTGCGACCTGCTCGAGCCCCCCCATCAAGAGGAGCAGGAGCACCAGGAGGAGGGGCTAGGGGGGCAACCACCACAACAACAACAACAACAACACGGCCAACCCCCCCACCAGAACCACCAACCGCTCCACGACCGTCACCGCAGAGCCATCCTCGCAGCCGCAGCCAGCAGCCCCACACCCGACTGGCAGGCCAAGGTGGAGTGGCTGGAGGCACGGGGCTGCCTGCGGGACGTTAATGCCTGCATCAGCGTTGCTGCCACCTGCCCGGATGCCCTGAAACGGCTGGTCTGGCTGCGTCAGCGGGGCTACGCCGTGAATGCCAGCACAGCCACCGCAGCAGCCGGACAGGGTCACGTTGCCGCTCTAGAGTACCTTCTCGCCCTGGAGGACGGCGACGGTGTCAGCGTCGTCAAGCCGCAGCACGTAGATGCCGAGGGTGCAGCTGCCGGCGGCTGGCTAGCCGCGCTGCAGGTGCTGCATGCGCGCGGCTGCCCGCTAGAGATGAACGTGGCTCGCGCTGCGGCGGTGGGTGGGCACTTACCGGTGGTGGTATGGCTGGTGGAGGTGGCGGGGTTTAACCTGCAGCGCTGGGGCGCGAGCATGGTGAACTATGCGGCTCGCGGAGGGAGGCTGGAGGTGTTGGCGTGGCTGGTCAGGGAGCGGGGCTGCCCTTGGAGCGAGGACAGCGTGGGCAATGCGGCAATGGCGGGTTGCGAGGAGGTGCTGAACTGGATGGCGGAGGAGGGGTGTCCGCTGGGGGTGAGTTGGGGTGAGGGATGAGCCATGGGGGGGGGAGCCGTGTGGCATGCTCAGCCGTTCTTGGGCCTTGGGGTGAGGCAGGAAAGCAGGACAGCAGTAAGGGCAGGCAACGGGTTGGCTGCTATCAGGGATGGAGGTTACATGTGTCCCCATATCGTGCAGCAATGCAGGGGGAACAGGGACAAACGAGGAAGACAGGGATACGGAGGGCTTACGGATATGTCAGCCTGGTAGCGCGCCCAAGTTACCCACCCATGCAACAGCGCACCTATTCTTATACCGGTACCCCTAACCTCGTCCCCATTCGCGTGTTCCCTTTCTCCCAAACACCCAAACACGCAGGTTCTGTCCGAGCGGTTCGACCCCTATGTGATCGCTGCCTGCAACGGCGACCTGGCCACGCTGCGCTGCCTGCGCCGGCTGGGCTGCCCTTGGAGCCCCGCGGGGGGCTCCAACACGGGGCCGGGGCCCACCTTCGCCTGCTGCGTGCGTCTGGGCTGCCGGCTGCCTGTGTTGCGTTGGCTGGCGCAGGAGGGCTGCCCGGTGGATGCGGCCGGAGTTAGGGTGGCGGTGCGGGAGTCGTGGCGGGGGCAGGAGGAGGCTGTGGAGGTGCTGGGCTTGCTGGAGGAGCGGCAGCGCCAGGGGGGATTGTAGTGGGAGCAGTGTGGAGCTGAAGGGGCGTTACAGTGATTTCAGCGGACTGCAGTAGTGAACAGGATAGGGCAAGCGATATGAGCGCCAGTAGGGCAGACGCTGACATTGGTTAAGAGGAGATGAGGGGGTGAGTTGGATGAGAGATGGGCGAGGTAGATACAGATGTGGCACATGGGAGGGCCGAGGTTGGGCATGCGGCTAGCATTTGGCAGGGCTGACAGGAACAGGAGGCGCGGATGACGGGGTGCCAGACGCTGGTAAGGGGGAAGAAGGAAACACTTGCTGCCTCTGTACGTCTTTAGTTGTGGACCTTACCCGGATAGAAGCCTTGCCTTACGGTTTAGGAAGCCGACGGTTTATAACCGCGAATAACCTGTTGGTCGGCGTCATCAAGCCGCGCCACGCTCCGGCTCTGGAGCGACGGTTGGCGCTTTCAGTTAGTTGGCCACGAAGAGATATGTTCCCAGCTTCTCCGCGCGGTAAACTGGCTCGCTTGTCCTTTGTTCTGTAACTTGTAGGTCCTTACTGTTGGTGATGTCCCTTCTGATACTCAGTCCTTTATTCCTTTATAGCTGTTAAATGGCAAAAGAAGGCCCGAAGCACGCTGTTAATGCTCATCCACGATGGTTTACACCTTTGCGACTGCTTGGTATATTTTGTATGACAAATCTGGTGGTCTATTTAGACCGAGGTGCGTCTGGGGTTCTGAATGCGGGAGACTAAGAGTTATGCGCGCGCACTGAATTCTGCAAACTTTGTTTTTTCCTATTTAGGTCTTATAGCTAGCAATGGCGTCAACGGCTCGCCTCGCACAGTGGAGGACCCACGCGGGTCAGGCATTCAGGTGCGGCATTGGAGGTTGGGACTGCACTGTCATGCACGCATACAAACTTACCCCAGTTAAACGCTTTTGATCTATGTACACTAAGCCAATTGCTGCGCTTTCGGTCGCTGGATGTGCGAGGCCATGCTCGCGCCTTACGTCAGTTAAGCCATGCCAGTTCCTCACCGAACGCGCGATTGCACCAGGGATGCCACCCATACCCTCACAAATTTACCCACCCACCAACTACCGATTGCTTGTCCAAGTGCCGCCCGTCCACCCGCCTCACCCCACCTCCTCCTACACCACCGCAGCCCCCAAAACCCTCCTCCTCCTCCCTCCTTTCCTCCTTCCCTTCCTCCTTCCCTTCCTCCTCGCCCCCCATCCCCCTCTCCTCAGGGCGAATTCGGTTTGTCGTACTTCCAGGACGGCCTGCTGCCCGCCTTCTTCATGGTGGGGCTGCTGCTCAGCTCCCCGGTCTTCGCGGAGGCATGCAAGCACGTGAGCGGCTTCCGGCTGCTAGGCGCCGGCATGGGCGTGTGGGCCGCGGCGGTGCTGGGCTGCGGCGGCGCGCCCAGCTTTGGCTGGCTGCTGGTGGCGCGGGCGTTCGTGGGGGTGGGCGAGGCTTCGTTTGTGGCGCTGGCGGCGCCCTTCATTGGTGCGTAGAGCGGCGTGGAGGGAGGGGTTGTGCGAGGCTGGAAGGGAATGGGCTGGAAGCGGTGTGGAGAGAGGGTGAGGTATGCCGCTGCAACCCCAGGACAGAGCCGCAACTGCGCGGAGTTTGACGTGTGCACCTCCTCTCCCACCCTTTTATCGTTCCACAGCTCCTTACCCTCCCATCCCTCCCTCCCATCCCCCTCCCCCCGCCAACCACCCTCAGACGACTTCGCCCCCGTCTCCCAGAAGACCCGCTGGTTCGCCGCCTTCTACCTCTGCATCCCCGTGGGATTCGCCGCCGGCTACATCGTGGGCGGCCTGCTGCCGGCCCTGCTGGGCTCCTGGCGCTGGGCCTTCGTGGCGGAGGGGCTCGCCATGACGCCCTTCATCGCCTTTGCCCTCACCGCACAGCCCCTACACCTCCGCGGCTCCTCGTCTTCCTCCTCCTCACATCGCTCCCGCTTCTCCAATCACCACCACCCGCATAACCATCAGCATCTTCAGCAGCAGCACCCCACCGCGTCCCGCTGGCGTGCGTTGTTACGTGAGTTCGGCGCCGACGTGGCGACCGTGTGCCGCCAGCGTGTGTGGGTCGCGGTGTGCGCCGCCTACACCGCCTACGTAGCCGTGCTAGGGGTGTACGCGTACTGGGGGCCGCAGGCGGGCCGACAGCTCTTCTTCGGTCCTGGATCAGGATCTGGATCCGGATCCGGTGGTGGAGAAAACGCGGACATGGTGTTTGGTGGCGTGACGGTGCTGACGGGGGTGTTGGGTTCGGTTGCGGGCGGTTGGGCGTTGGATTCGTTGGGTGCCAGTCTGCGGTCCGCGTGTTTGTTGAGCGCGGGGAGCTGTGTTGCGGGGATGGCGGTGCTGCTGGTGGCGTTTGGGGCGGCGGGGAGCTTCGCGGGATTCATGGCGGCGTTTGCGGTGGGGCAGCTGCTCATATTCCTGCTGCAGGTGGGGGGGGGAGGGAGGGGTGCAGGGTGAGGGAAGGGGGCAGGGTGGGGTACAAAAACACATTTAGAGGTGACGCACTGGATTCTATTCACTGGGTTCTTGTGCGAGAGGTGGGGGAGGGTTGCAAAGGGGTGAAGAAGGGTGCACTTGCATCCCGTTGATACCGGTACCCATACCATTCATTCTTCTGCCTGTATGGCTGTATCTGATTGCCTTTAATGACGCCTTATTCCTCCCTTCCCAACGCCCGCCATATTCCTCCCCTCCTTCTTCCCTCCTTCCTCCCTTCCCGCTCCCAGGCCCCTGTCGCTGCTCTGGGCATGTGGTGTGTCCCCCCCGCACTGCGGCCTCTGGGCGCCTCCCTGATGACCGTCTCCATCCACCTGCTGGGCGACGTGCCCTCGCCGCCACTAGTGGGGCTGCTGCAGGGGCGGCTGGCGGCGGGGAAGGACCCCGCGGCGGCAGCGCAGCAGTGGCGCGTGTCGCTGAGTGTGTGCAGCCTGCTGCTGCTGGTGAGCGGCGGGCTGTTCCTGGTTGCGGCTTGGCAGGCGGGGCCGGGTACGGATTACAGGGGGAAGACGGGGGAGGATGAGGAAGAGGAGGAGGGGGGGAGTGAGGGGAGGGGGTTGGTGGGAGGGGGAGGGGTGAGGGAGGGGGAGGTGGATGTACGGCCGTTGTTGATGGAGGAGGGCAGAGATGGGGGGAGTGATGTGGGGGAGGGTGGGGTGCGGTGAGGGGTGGCAGGAGGGAAGAGGGTAGGAGGGGGGTGTGATGGGGAGGGAGAGGTGGCAGATGAATGAATGGTTGGGGGGCACAGGCGGGTTAGGGGACACATAGGTGATGGTGGCACATGCCCAGGACGTGCGTTAGGAGAGCAGTAATTGACACGTAGGGTTTTGTACGTCTACCCAGCATATGGGAATACATATGGGCACGAGAATCCTTGCAAAGGTGTCGGCTTTGGCTTCTAGTACAGTATCAGCGGACAAGCCGAGCGCTTTTGGTGCTATACCAGTAGAGCCTAGCCAAGCCAATAGCGGGCGTTAAGGAGGATGGCTAGGGAGAAACCGTAGGCGCATTGTACAGGCTTTGTACAGACAGCCTGACTTGGCTGGAACTGGTTGATCGAATGTTGTTGCAGGAGCCCTTCACTGAACCCCTTTGGTTGTCGTCGGACGCCAAGGCATGTTCTCACGCAATTTCACCCTTTGCACGTGTGGAGCTATATGCTACATGTAATACAAAAACAGTTTCAGGTTACGTTGCTGTAGTCGACTGGGAATTGCGAGATGTGCACAATGTGCGACGGCGGACGGAAAAAATCATGACGGGATCGTCTTTAGTGCAGTGCGTTAAAGCTTTGAGTTTTAGGCTAGATCTTTAAAACTTGTGTCGCTTCCTTGGTTCTTAGGGACGACAAGCGTTCGTATAGAGGGCTTGCGTAGCGTCGGGCGAGCAGGTATGACTAAGGAGCTGTTGACCCAGCCAACGCAATAGCTCTTGAATCATGCGGATGGTTATCGATATTTGCCTTAGCATTCGTGAGAAAGATTAATTTCTTTTGGAGTGCTAGCCGTCCTGCCCCAACTGATTAGTCGTGCAAAGGCGCAATCCATACGTCACCCCTGTTGCTCCCATATGCTTTAGCACTTCAATGCACCGTCCGCGACATAAATATCTTATACCATCATTCCGGTGCTAATCCTACTGGTGCTCTTGTTGGTACTGACTGAGAGCTATCGACTCAGGCTCCCACTTCTCGTTTGCAGTGCGTATTTTGCTTTCAAGGAAGCTAAGATTAACAGCTATTTTAGGCTTACCCCAAAGAACGCGAGCGGTTCTGTCTACGTGTCGCCTGTTTGCTTGGTGTGAAACACCAGGTGTGACGCCCCGGAACTCCAACGGGGTTGGACAATTCTTGAGGGTATATACCGAATGGTTGCATCCTTTAGCGTTTTTCGGCACAGAGTATGTAGGTCTTCCATAATGTTACAGTTGAAGGGCTGGTACCTGCTCTAGTTATGGGTTCAGATAAGCAATTATTATACGCAGCGCTTGCTCATTCGCACATCTGTCTTCTTGTTGTTTGCTGAGCTCTTGCTTCTTCACTTCAGGTTCATGACAGAGCACAGCGTCTTTGGTGGTGCGGGCCTACACCAGACATCTATTTCTACTGTGGCATGGCAGAACGCTTTAAATGGAGCAGCCGTCACGGGTCCTGTTTCGGCAGAAAACAGGGTCGTAGCTTCGTCGAACTACGACTTAGGGGTTGCTTACGCGGTCGCCCAGGCGCGCATGCCCGTACAAGCTGTCAACGGAGCACATCATCAATATGGATTGACAGGCCGTGCTGCATTGCACGTTGCTCGTCAAGCCCGGGCCGATGTGCAACCTGCCCAACAACCATCGCAGCAGGAAGCACAACTATGGCAGCTTTATCAGCTAGGTCTTGCCGACGATAACATGGGAGCTTCCGGCGCGGCGAACTTACAGCGCCTGCAGCAGCCACAACAATACGCCCAGGCCGTAAGGCCGCAGAGTGCACATGCGGGCAGTGCAGCCATTGGCACTGCGCGCGCGCTCTTAGGACACCGGGTCCCAACAGCGCATGGCGCGGGTAACCGGACCCTAGCGGCTGGAAACATCGGCATGCACAATGATGGATTGCAACCGGATACTGGAGGTGCAGCTGCTGGCATGGTTGCCATCCTTGGCAACACATCCCCGCACGCACTTGCTGTCGAGCTTCAACAGCTACAACGCCAGCAGTTGCAACAGCGACAACAGCAGCAGCAGGAACAGCAACAATTGCTGCAGCAAAGACAGCAGCAACAACAGCAGCAACAGTTGCTGCAGCAAAGACAGCACCAACATCAGCAACAACAGGTCCAACTCCAACTCCTACAGCAGCTTCGGCTGCGGCAGCAACAACAGCCTGAACAGCCTGTGCAGGCCCGGCAAGGCTCGGGCCTGAACCTCTCGCTAGCCGGTGCCGTACAAACGCAACACCTCAACCGGCACCAACAACCGCAACCGCACCTGCAGCCGGCAGGGGTTCAGGCGCCGCAGCCGCAGCCTCAGCACCATCCAGTGGGTTTCGCCGGCGCATCTTTGCATCCGCACCCACTACCACAAGCCCACCAGCACAACCAATATAACGGTCGTTATATGCAGCAGCAGCAGCAGCAGCATCGGCATCTCCCGCCGCCGCAGCAGCAGCGCAACGGCCCTCGCACGCCCCGCCCGCCCTCCGCCTTCCCTCCAGCTGCCGCCCCCTCCTCCTCTTGCTCCTCCTGCATCCAACGCTCCCCTGGCGCCTCCACCGGCATGCCCCTCAGCATGGCTTGCGGCGGCGCTGCCGCCGCCCCTGGCGCTAACCTCGCGAACGCAGCCGGCGGCAAAGTCATGAACGCCGCCACCGCCGCTGCCGCTGGCGGCGACTGCTCCGCTCCGGATCGCTGTCCACAGCGCGACTTGCACGATGCCGGCGGAAGCTCTGACGGCGGTTGCGGTGGCGCCAACGACGCCGACAAAGACGACGAGGAGGACGACCCAACCGACACGATACTCTTCCCCAACCACCCCATCTCCGAAACCGCGGACTCCTGGGCTTCCCTCACCGCCGCGCTGCTTGCGCGCGTGATGGGCGTCCTCGCCGCTGGGGGCGCCTTACCCTCCCTCGCCCCCTCGCTGCGCTGCGTGTGCCGCCACTGGCGCAGCGTGGTGGATGCGCACCTGGAGTGCCTCTGCCCCAACACCATGCGGGTCCGTGTCCTCACCACACGCTTCTCCTCCCTGCGTGCCATACACCTCGACCACTGCAGCAGAATCCGCAATCGAGACCTGCTGCTGCTCTCTCGCGCGCCCTCCGCTCAGCTCCTGCACACCCTCACGCTGGGTGACGACCGTGCGCGCCCCTGGGTCAGCAACCGCGGCCTGGCGTCGGTGTGCCGGCTGACCTCTCTCACCCGCCTCACGTTGCGGGATTGCATGTCGTTGACGAACCGCGGCTTGGTTCCGCTGTCCGCGTTGACCGGTTTGACTTGTTTGTCGCTGCGGGGATGCCGGAAGCTCACGAACCAGGGACTGGAAGCTCTCAAGGGGCTTAGGTTGCTGCAGCATGTGTCCGTACATGGTGTCGTACGATTGTCGGACAAGGGCCTGCTGCCGTTGACGGCCCTGCCCTGCTTGCAAACCCTGGAGCTGGGGCAGACGCGGGTGCGGGACGAGGGTCTGGGGTACGTGGCGCGCATGCGGGGGTTGCGGGCGCTGGGGCTGACACGGGAAGAGGTGTCGGATGCGGGGGTACGGCAGCTGAGTGCGTTGTCGGGCCTTACGCGGCTGGTGATGCGGGACACGGTGGAGGTGGGCGGGGAGACGCTGGCGGCGCTGCTGCCGTCGCTTCGGGAGTTGCAGGTGGGGGGGATGAGGAGCGGGTGGGGCTAAAGGGGCGTTGGGTGGGTAGTACAGAGTACCGGGGATGGTTGGGAGTACATCCCAGATGGTCTCAGGTGGACATTGCATGGCTGGATGGCTGGTATCTCTTACTTCGATGCCACCCCATCAGTCTCTCTAATACCAGTCTCTCCCAACACCCCTTCCCACCCGTACAGATTCTCGACTTGCAACGCAATTGGTCCTTCAATAACGTGCAGCTCGCCCGCTGCCTGCCCGCCCTCGCCGCCGCGCCCGCCCTCACCCACCTCGACCTCCGCTCCACTTGGGTGTGTGACGACGGCGTCGCTGCGCTGGCCCGCCTGCCCGCCCTCCGTCGCCTGGCGCTCAGCCCGCAGCACGAACAGTGGAGCAAGTACCTCCCCGTGCTGCCGCAGCTGCAGCTGCTGACATGTCTGGTGCTCCGAAACCTGCCCCACCTGCCGCACCAACTCATCGAGGCCCTGGCGGGGATTCCGGAGCTAAGGGAGCTGGATCTGGCGCAGGAGCCGCCGCCAGTGACGCTGCCGTTACCCGTGACGGCAGCGGCGGCAGCTGCAGGCGCAGCGGTAGATGCTCCCCCTGGCGGCGGTGGTGGTGGTGGTGGCGGTGGAGATACGGCGAGTGGCTGGGCAGCGACAGCGGCGGCGGTGGTGGCGGCGGTGGCAGCGCGGGAGCCGGTGCGGCCCCAGGCGGTGGCGGCGTTGTCACGGCTGCGGTCGCTGAGGCACCTGGACCTGTCACGGTAAGAGCGGGCGGGTGGGTGGGTGGCTGCGGGCGGGTAGTTGGGTATTGTACTATGGGTTGGGCGTGTACAGAGGAGACAGACTAACAAACCATGTGTGGGTGGTTCGGTTCCAAGCTCTCCTCCCTCTCCCGTTCCCATGTGCGCTTCGTTGGTCCCATGCCTCGCTCCTCCTCCTCCCTCCTCCCCATGCACCCTCAGACGCAATCTGCACCCCGACCAGGCCCTCTTCCTGGCTCAGTCCCTGCCGGAGTTGCAGCGGCTGGTGCTGCTGCAGTGCCCGCTGCCGCCCGCAGCGGTGGCGCGGCTGTGGCAGCAGCGACCGCAGCTGGTGGTGGTGGCGGGGGCGACGGCGCAGCAGCACTGGGGGCAGCAGCTGCTGCAGCTGCAGCAGCAGCAGGAAGAGGAGGAGGAGGAGCGCAGGAGGAGGCAGGGAGGGGGAGGAGCGGGAGCAGGAGCAAGAGGAGGAGGGGGGCTGGGAGGACTAGGCGGGCTGGGATGGGGGTTGTGGGAGGATTGGGAGGGCTTGGGTTTTGCGTGATGATGGAGGTTATGTGGTGCGATATTGGCGCGCTACGAAAATACAAAAGCAAAAGCAGGCAGGCAGGAGGAGCGGGGAGAATGGGGGAGGGGTACGTGCGCGCCCGGGTCCTCGACTCGCTGGGGCTTCGTAGTGTGGGTGGCTTCACTGGTGGAGGGGGGCTGGGCGGATTCTGATGGCACATGGTGTGCTGCGCAACAACGTCCGTCACTGGTGGATTAGGGCTGGGTGCAGGTTTGGGGCTTCACAGCTTTGGGAGCTGCCGGAAGATAGCCTATAAGCATTGATGATATTGTGGTGGGGGTCCTGGGGCCTAGTGGGGTGTACCGTATTACGGAGGGCAGGAGGCGGCGGTGGTGGAGGTCTTGGATGACAGGCAGGACGCAGGAGAAGTGTGCCGTACTTGGGGTGGGGCGCCGAACCGGACTGTGATTAAATGGTGTTGCCACGGTTAGGCGGTACTCTGATACGGCTCGTGCGAGTACTGCCTGGGAAGGAGGCTGTGCCCCCTTGGGGTTACTGTTTTGAGGGAGGGTGGGTGCAGGGTGGGATTATAGAGGAAGAAACGAACTAGGAAGAGAGGGATGAAAAGGTGGAAACTGACGAGCTGTATACGGAAGGAGGGTGGGAAGGAGGGTGAGTGGAGGAGTAGATGTGTGCCAGTCATGCGCCGCAGGGGAGCACGTGGCACGAGGGGAGGCCAAACGGATCTCATCCTGTGTTAAGAAATCTGGCCGCGAGTAGGAACGTACTGGGATGGCGGAAGATCCTGAGTTGCGGGAGGACCCAAAGGAGGCTGTTGCAGCTCAGCGCGGGTGTTGTAGCCAGGCTGTATGTACGTTAGTGGCGGTGGAAAGAGGCCTAATGGTGATGTGGGATGGTGAGATTGGTGACGGTGTTAGCTGTCCGCATCGGGCTCAGGTATGGGCACATGTTAAGCTGCTTGGAGGCTTCATGCAAAAATAGCGTCAAGAGGCTTGTTGGCTTATGAGGTTGTGAGATGGTTTTGCCTAAGGAGAAAGGGGAGCTTTGGGCGGCTTTGCAGAATGGAGGGTTACAGGTGACGTATTCGAGATGGGAATTGCTGTCTGAAGCAGTCTGAAGGGCTAGGTTTCGGCCATTGCCTGGGGGATGTTGTTGCAATGCGTGGCAGGACCTTGACTCCCATAGGGCTGTCCGTGCTTCATGGGACTCTCCTCCTAACCGGTTATGCTTGGGTGGTGTACCTGTTGTTACTGCCCTAATAGCTGCGACGATGTCCAGTAACCGAGACACATAAACGACATGCGTGAGGGAAGGATGAAACGGAAACATGGAGGGCTCGACTCTTAGTCTTCTACTCGTTTTGCTTTACCAGCCAGCCAGCTGCATGCGGCGGCATTACGCCCGTGTCGCTCGGCATGGGGGCTGCACGCCCTCCCTTGCTCCGGCCTTGGGAATGGATCCGGTTTGCTGATATGCTGAGATATGTTGTTGGTTCGGCCCTGGGTCCCAAAGGCAGGGCTTTGCACTCCTTGACTTGTGTTCACGTCGTGTGTTGCATCCGACTCGCGGCCAGTTACCTTAACACACACATTGGTGGCTGGGGTGGATGTGCGATTTGAGCCGCGTGCCTGGGAGGTGCCCCTCAATCGCCCGCATGGCGTTTCGCATCCTGTAAGCAATCACGGTGCAGGCTGCTGCTGCGGTGGTGTTAATTCGGTAGTAACGCCGCTTAATTCGGTAGCAACGGTTGTACCTTGGCTAAATGTGTTGCTGCCTATAGGCGGCAGGATCATGTGTACCGCAGTGGAGCGTTTTTGCCCTTTCATGACTTGCTTATGACAACGACAACATTAACATAATATGGTACCATGCTTCTATAGGCTGTGTAGGTAGGTGGAGGAGGAGGAGCAGGCAGGGCGGGCGGGCGGAAAATCGCATGACTCGTTTGACGTATTTTTACTATGGACGGGGGATGCAAGGGTGCGTGGGGCGGTGTGGGGCGCGCGCTTGGTTGCTGTTGCTGCCGTTACGGCGCAGGCGCGCAGCGGCAGCTGCCGTTTTCCGGTTTGAGACGTTTCATCCTTTTGCTCGGAAAGCGCAGCGTGTGGGTGAGGCCCCTCGCTTGTACGAAAACGCTTACGTGCTCGGGCTCGTGTCCTCATTCGTACATTTTGGCTTCATCCTGGTTTCGCTTGCTAGCTAACCTGGTTGTTCATTCCCCACCGCCTTCCTTGGCGCGCTGTGATTTACAGTGCCGGGGCGCATCCTGGGCGTCCATTAAGGGGTTGACGCTGACCCATGGGTCTCCAACTCTCCATGTTTTGTTTCACCGGTTTGGGGTTGCGTTGAGTACCCCTTTTTTGCAGGTGGTGGTTGATGCCCAGTGTCCTAAATAAATAATATTATTAATAAATATTTGCATGACATCTCTGTAGGAAAATTGAAACCATTGCAACGTATGTATCTGTAGTCTCCACCTACGCCCGGTTGTAGCCGAAGGCCTTTCCGTTAGTACTTTTGGCGGTTGCTTTATCGTACAACCTGCGGCAGGAGAGGTGGCGGCCTGAGTGCCTTTTGAAGGAAGTAAGCGGGGAGGTCCCGTAAGTGCTAGTACCGGTAGTTATCTTGTGCCTCTCGCCGTACATGCAATCCTGTTTGTTTGTACGTCATAATTTGCAATACTAAAGCCTTAATCGGCTGTGTACCGGTACGGAAGAACGATGTATGCCATGTGTCCGTATTAGCTATCAACATTTGGCGGAGCAGGACCTTCCAGCTACCCCAAAGTACGGTGGCCTTAATATCCAAAGATCTGCGACACGCCTCTGTTGCGGAGCCAAGCTACAGCGTCTCATGCATTAGGGGCGAGTGTGGGGGTGATATCAAACGTTGCCGGTAACTGCGGGGTAGGAGATTTAGGGTTGTCTAGCGCCGGCAGTTGCTGCTGTTGTCTACAACTGCAGATGTGCCGTCAAACAGTTGTAACAACCACCGTAAATGACTCCACATCAACAAATCCCCACCTGCGTTACCCCGTCAATTGCCGTAGCCTGTGAAATGCATGTATATGAACAGCTGACCCCTGGGTCTGTGGATGGCTTGTCAACGCTAGGTCGGCGGCTGCTAGCACCCGCCGACCTAGCCCCCGCCGACCTAGCACCCGCCGACCTTGCACCCACCGACCTAGCACCCGCCGACATAACACCCGCCGACCTAGCACCCGCCGACCTGGCACCCGCCGACCTAGCACCCGCCGACCTAGCTACCGCCGACCTGGCACCCGCCGACCTAGCACCCGCCGACCTAGCACCCACCGACCTAGCACCCACCGACCTAGCTCCCACCGACCTAGCACCCACCGACCTAGCTCCCGCCGACCTAGCACCCGCCAACCTAGCACCCGCCAACCTAGCACCCGCCGACCTAGCACCCGCTGAACTAGCCCCCACCGACCTAGCACCCGCCGACCTGGCACCCGCCGACCTAGCACCCGCCGACCTAGCACCCACCGACCTAACACCCACCGACCTAGCTCCCACCGACCTAGCACCCACCGACCTAGCTCCCGCCGACCTAGCACCCGCCAACCTAGCACCCGCCGACCTAGCACCCGCTGAACTAGCCCCCACCGACCTAGCACCCACCGACCTAGCACCCGCCGGCCTAGCCCCCGCCGACCTAGCACCCGCCGACCTAGCACCCACCGACCAAGCGCCCGCCGACCTAGCACCCGCCGACCTTGCACCCACCGACCTAGCACCCGCCGACATAACACCCGCCGACCTAGCACCCGCCGACCTAGCACCCGCCGACCTAGCACCCGCCGACCTATCACCGACCGACCTAGCACGCACCGACCTGGCACCCGCCGACCTAGCACCCGCCGACCTAGCACCCGCCGACCTAGCACCCGCCGACCTAGCACCCACCGACCTAGCACCCGCCGACCTAGCACCCGCCGACCTAGCACCCGCCGACCTAGCACCCGCCGACCTAGCACCCGCCGACCTAGCACCCGCCGACCTAGCACCCGCCGACCTGGCACCCGCCGACCTGGCACCCGCCGACCTGGCACCCGCCGACCTAGCACCCGCCGACCTGGCACCCGCCGACCTAGCACCCGCCGACCTAGCACCCGCCGACCTAGCACCCACCGACCTGGCACCCGCCGACCTAGCACCCGCCGACCTAGCTACCGCCGACCTGGCTGCCGCCGACCTAGCACCCGCCGACCTAGCACCCGCCGACCTGGCACCCGCCGACCTAGCACCCGCCGACCTAGCACCCGCCGACCTAGCACCCGCCGACCTAGCACCCGCTGACCTAGCACCCGCCCGAACTGGCACCCGCCGACCTAGCCCCCGCCGACCTAGCTACCGCCGACCTGGCACCCGCCGACCTAGCACCGCCGACCTAGCACCCACCGACCTAGCACCCGCCGACCTAGCTCCCACCGACCTAGCACACCGCCGACCTATCACCGACCGACCTAGCACCCGCCCAACCATAGCACCCCGCCAACCTAGCACCCGCTGACCTAGCTACCGACGACCTAGCTCCGCCGGGACCTAGCACGCACCGCCCTAGCCCCGCCGACCTTGCACACCGCCGACCTAGCACCCGCCGACCTAGCACCCGCGACCTAGCTACCGCCGCCCTAGCACCCGCCGACCTAGCTACCTGCCGACTACTAGCACCCAGCCGACCTAGCACCCGCCGACCTAGCACCCGCCACCTATGCACCCCCGACGACGCTAGCACCCTCCGACCTAGGCACTCACCCGACCTAGCATCCCCGCCGAAATCACACCCGGCCGCCGACTAGCACCCTCGCGCCTAGCACCCGCCGAACTGGCGACCCACGCGACCTAGCACCCAGCCGACCTAGCACCCGCCGCCTAGCACCCGCCGACTAGCACCCGGCCGCGACCTAGGCACCCACCGACCTAGCACCCGCCGAAATAACACCCGGCCGCCGACCTAGCACCCGCCGACCTAGCACCCGCCGACCTGGCACCCACCGACCTAGCACCCGCCGACCTAGCACCCGCCGACCTAGCACCCGCCGACCTAGCACCCGGCCGCCGACCTAGCACCCACCGACCTAGCACCCGCCGACCTAGCACCCACCGACCTAGCACCCGCCGACCTAGCACCCGCCGACCTAGCACCCACCGACCTAGCACCCGCCGACCTAGCACCCACCGACCTAGCACCCGCCGACCTAGCACCCACCGACCTAGCACCCGCCGACCTAGCACCCGCCGACCTAGCACCCGCCGACCTAGCACCCGCCGACCTAGCACCCGCCGACCTTGCACCACCGACCTAGCACCCGCCGACATAACACCCGCCGACCTAGCACCCGCCGACCTATCACCGACCGACCTAGCACGCACCGACCTGGCACCCGCCGACCTAGCACCCGCCGACCTAGCAC